CCCCCCCCCGGTGCCACCCGAGGGCCGGGGCAGGACCCGGCTTTGCCAGCGGAGGAACTGTGGTATCGGTATGTGTGTGTGTATGTGGTGGTTTACTTTGGCATCGGCATCAAAAAGGCAGTATCAGCGTCGCAATGTCACCCGATGTGGGTGGGCAGCACCAGTCCCCCTCCGCTGAGGGACAGCGCAGCTCGTTCTCCCTCCGGGCAGACTGTGGGCTGCTGTGAAGGCTGCGGGGATGGGTGAGGAAGGATGGAAAGCTCTCTTAGGAGGTTGGGGAGGCACCGCTCATCTGCTGGTGGGGTCCCAGAAGGTTGTGAGGAGAGGTGATGCCTTTATAGGACAGTCGATGCGGGTGGAGGGAGCAGACAAGCACCCAAGTATTCAAACCAGGGTAACAAATGTTGTCTGTCACCCCAAAATCACATCTGAGAATGATTATAGTGTTGTCAGTCATAAAACTGTGCTTAAAACATAAATGTTTCCTCTGTTTCATACTTTTCATTAATAATTCTGTGTCGCCCTGTGCCTTCAAAAGCAAAAGGCTGTGTGGGATGCCAGGCTGGGCTCCCCGGGGCAGGAGCTCTCGAGAGAGGAGGGCAGCCTCCAAGAGCAGGATGGATGTCTGTGACTTATTCTGTGTGCTCGGCACCACCACTGCCTGTGTCTCAGGAGCGTAACCGTCTTGTCTTCTTTCACCCAGAGGATTTAAGAGGGGTCGCAGCTACCGCTTCACATCGCCGCTCCTGGGTGGGAGTAGCTGGCACAGCGTAGCATCTCCAGGGGCTGCCCCTTGGCTCCCACCCTGCACGCACCGCTCTGCTCTGCGTAGGGCGTCTCAGGTCGCAGCTTGAGCACAATTCGGGGGAGGGCACCAAATTTAAGGAGAGAGTCTCCGGGATCTGCCCTGGCTGGCTGTATGCCTTCAGCTCCAGCCAACAGTAAGTTTCTCAAAAATTTATTTGGGTAAAATTTTAGGCTGTCCCAGGATTTGAATAGAAATTATTGGTGACTCAAGAGAAAAACAGACTCTTTGCTTATTAAACCTTAGTTGTGGCACAGGGGGACACGGAAGTACAAGTAGTACCTAGTGACAAAGTCCTGGGTACGGCAACTTTGCCAAAATGATGCCAAGTTTAATAACGTTATGCCTGTGTTTGTTTCCTTGTCATTAGCCTAAGGAGAGTGCGGGGAAGATGAGTCATCAGAGCCGACCAACCAAATAGGATCCAGCTTGCTTTAGTTCATTCATATTTTTGGGCTCTGTGCGCTGCTAGAGGAGGGGAGTGTGGGTTCGGGTTGGCTTTCTGAGCCAACAGTGTCCTTTGGACTTAATTTTCAGAACTGCATATACAGAAAAGTGCTGGCAGGGTATTTATTGTGCTTCTTAAGGTATTACCACTACCGTATCGTATCTCATCCTTCATGTAGCCAATATTTGCCTTCACAACATGTAGGTTGTTTGCTTATCATGCCCTCTCTCGTTTGTAAGTAGTACTCGGGCGGTTTCCCTGCGGCAGGACCAAGCTGGGATCGCAGCGGCTAAGCCCAGGCTGGGTCGGTCATGCAGAGCACGAGGCGGCTGCTTATCGAGCAGGTGTGAAGGGCGCAGTCAGGCCTCCTGCTTTATCACCGGGTGTCACTCCCCAAACTCCCCGCTGGAGCAGGGCTGGTCACGGGAAGATATTTTCGTTTGACATATGTCATATCGGCAGTTGTAGGAGGAGTTCAGTAAACCTAGATACGGTGAAACCAGAAATTACCAGTGGAGCGGCTGTGTCCTCTTTAGAGCCCACCCATTCGTCGTAAACTTCAGCTTCAAGGGACGCTGAACTAATGGGAAAACGTTGTGAATACACCATAACAAATTAAGACCTCTTGAGATTTTTCTTAAAATTTATCAGCTGAAGTTCAAACTTAACTCTTGATTTAAACGAGGGCAGTACCACTGACTTCAGGGAAACCTGAAGTCCTGTCTGAACCCGGCTGATGTGCTTCGCTATTTGTCCGTCCAGTGGGTACCGTCAGCCCGGGTGGCACCCGGCATATTTTCACAACCAGCGTGCAGAGTGAAAAAATGTTGTATCTGGTGCTAAGCATGGTTCTCATCTCTTTAACTTGCTGCAGGCTTTCCCCATATGTCATCGTTAAAGGGGAGTCTGGAGTCTGGAGTGATGCTGAGCAGTTTTGCAGCATCTGGCTGTGAGGCAGCCAGCTGACGCGTAGTGCACACCACGGTGTATCTAAATCAATGGCTAATTCCTTCTCTGTTTTCTTTTGTGGAGGGCAGGAGAATTCATATTGCGTACCCAGCTATTACAGGAAGCAACAGATTGACTATTCGAGTATAAAAAGACTTGGCAAATAAACCTGATCATGTATCATTCTCAAATTATACCTCGTTAGTCCTTCTATTGAAAAATGGGTGAGAGGGTAAGAGATAGCAAGCGCAAGAAGAGGGGTGGAAAGGACTAACTGAAATATGAGCTGCTTGTAGTTTGTAACTTTTATAAATAATATTGCCTTACATTACTTTTAGGAAGGGTTTGATGTCCATAAAGAGTACCTGCGCTATAAACCCATCTGGAGTAGGAGAAGTCCTTCAAACACTAGGAATTTTGTTTGCTCTTTTGTAGCAGGGATTTTTGTGCCTTCCCTTTATTTAACTGGAAGCAAAGGTGAAAAATAAGGGGTAGGCTTGTAAGGAATTTTGGCAGTGCTGTAAGAAATGAGCAAAGGGACCTTGCTGTTCTCTCAGCTAGTGGATGCTCCAGCATGTTGCATGAAGGTGGTGTTTGAACCACTTGCTTCTCCGGCCAGAGAATAAAAGCATCTGGCATAGCCCAGCGTTATTACAAAATTGCCTATATGCCAGGAGATCCCTTCGGTGTCCTTCAAAAGAAGTCAGTGTGGGTGCCGTGTGCTGTGCTGAATTTGGGGCGGCAAAAGGATGTTCGGTGTGCGCAGCCATCATGCCCATCGCTCTGCGGGCTTAGGAGCCTCAGGCAAGAAGGGGTTTTTTGGAAACCTCACGCAGGTTATGGATGAGGCAGGTGCAGGTAAATCACAGTCTTGGACTTGGAAGCCTAAATCCCGACGGCGTTGCACTTCAGGTGCGTGCATGCTGTGGTTATGAGCGCTGTGTAAAAGCAGGACGATGGGGTGGGGGGGAGAAAGCAGAGGGCGGACACCCCCTCTTTTCCAGCTCTTCCCATTCCAGCTCGGTATCCGTTTCAGCTTCCACTCCTCCCTCCCTGGCTCCTTGCGTGCCGTACCCGGGTCTGCGGGAAGCGGCAGAGCTCGGCTGCTGCGGGATGGCGTCATCCACCCATAAGTCATGCTTCGCCTCTCTGTGTGTCCGTGCTGGCTGATTTGTGGAGCTGTGCTGGGTGATTGCAGGGGAAGAGAGGCCTCCGGAGGGTTGTCCCGGAGGATGGAAAGCTTTCGGTCAGCACCTTTAGGTGGTGGCGCTGCTAAAGAGGCTGGGACGAAATACTGCTGTGAAAGGGATGTTCAGGTGAGACCTAGCAGGAGCAGTTTCTTATTTTCATGGGACATAGAATCCCTTTGTTTCTAATTTACTTGCTGTGCACCTGCGTTATGGATAGAAATAAAAATTAAATTTAAGACTTAATAGGATAGTAATCATTTTCCACAGGGGGGAAGAAAGGTCTTTGCTGTCATTGTCTTGGATTAAAATAATCCTTAAGGTGTATTGCATGATCCCCTACACACGGTTTAGGGTGAACTTCTAGTAAAATCCATGAAATATATATGCCCGTTCTTATTTATAACTTAGATCCAGAGCAGTGGCTTAGGAGAGTTAGGAATTGGAGCATAATTGTGCAGAGATACTGGTGATTTTACTTGTTCTTCTGTGGTTCTTTGTGCTAGGAAGGACACATCCGCTGGTCCTTTGCTAAACCAGGTCCCTCTCTGACCCGAGGCTCCTGCTCCCACTCTCAAGAGCAGCAGCACAGAAGGGACTTTGCACCTTTTGTCACCCCCACCCATAGCCCACCTTCGCTGAGCAAGATCGACTGCAAGATCTTAGCAGACTCATGGCTTTTTTTTTTTTTTTTTTTTTAAATTTTATATTGTTTGGGAGCTGGTTCACTAAGCAGGCGAGAAAATACGGTTTTGAAATAAGATGAAGTGTTGAGATTTAGTTGTTCGTAAGAAACCTTCCCAACCAGACACAGACAGTGATGGTGAGGGTGCGCTGATCGATCGACGTTGCTCCTGCCCCAAACCGCTTGTGTCCCACACTAAGGCAGAGTGCAGTTGGACCATGTAGGTGCAGAACACGCATGAGTCAGGGGTCTCCCGTGAGTTCATTGCTCCCTGCAGCCGCCTGTGGTGCAGAAGGCCGAGGACAGACCTGCCTTCCTTGCCTCCCAGGCTTCTCTGCCACCCTTCAACAGGACACCCGGCCCCATCGCAGCTCTGTCCCGCCTCATCCCAAGCTTGCTTTTCTTAAACTCCCCTCTGTCCTGTCCTTAGTGCGGCACCGCGGCTCGAACCTGCTCAGCAAATCTCCGCAATAATCAGCATCTTTTATGCCACGGCCACCATCTGCGACCAGACCCAGGGTTTGAATTTCAGGGTGGGGAAAATTAGATACGTGCCCCTTCCTCCCCTCCTCGGTGGGAATCATCGCTGCGTCCCTGTTGTCTCCTCGGCAGCGATCCCAGCAGATCATCCTTCCCTTCCCCTTGGCCCAGGTGGCAAAGGTGGACATCCCAGCACCCTCCTCCTCCCTCCTCTGCCGTGCCGCATCTGCCTCTCCTCTTCTCTGCTGCCTTTGTGATTTCTCCGTCCATGGGAGTTCTGTCCCCTTCTCCCCCCGATTCCTCTTCCAAATGATGCCCGTTCCAGTCCAGCTCTCCTCCGTATTTTCGCCTCCCTTGGCAGTGGTGCTCTGCAACTCACAGCCTCCCAGATTTTATTAAATCGAAGCGGTGTGGAAGGGAACAGCCCAAGCCTCGTTACTGGGCTGCGCTGTCTCCTTTGTGTCCCCGCTGTCTGTTCAGTCTCTCTGAGCGGCTGGGGACGGATCCTTTCCTCTGAAGCAGTTGGGGGGCAGAAATTGTTATAATAAAACCCTCCCGTTACAGTTGGTGTTCCCCCATGTTTATTTTTAAGATGTCTGAAGACCATTAATCAACAAGTGAGTGCATGATGACTTGGGTCACGATGTTCCAATAATTCATAATTAGAACTAAGTGTTTAAGGCTGCGTGATCCGCCTTTTAAAAATGAGATGAAGAGATCTTTTGCCAACTATCCCATTAGAAAAAGGCTTCTGGTCCATGAAAGGAGATGAAATCAGGGGATCATTGAAGAATAATTTTGTAAATTGATTGCGGACAGTCATTTGTTGCAGCAGTTGTATCCCTACAACTGTAAAACAATTACTAGCAGCAATTTTTTCTTTAAGCAATTAAATGCCTTTTTGGGAGATACCTTTACCCAAATTCAAACAAGAAATAATTCCACCTCAGACACTGTTCCCTTTTGTTGCCATTTGATGATCTTTTTCTGGAGTTGGAGTAGTATCAAGATCAAGATGAAAAGTCGTAATAAAATAAATGACCTGATGACTAATGCATGCCTCAGTCCAGAAGAGCCAAAATTAGCATCCTCTCCAGCCGGGGAGGGACAGGAGGTGAGGTGAGGCTGCCTCTGAAGGAGCTGCGTTCCGTCTCAAAAGTGAGATGGTATCATGCACCGCAGGCGCAGATTGCGCTTCGCACGGGCTCTCGCAGGCAGATGCTCTTAGTTGTACTGTAGAGACGGGCGCGTCTGGGATGTCGCAGCCCTGATTCACCCTCCTGCGAGAGCATCCCAAACAGCCCGTTCAGCATCTGCGGGAGCAGGGGGGGGAAGGGGCGGGGGGACCCTGATGGCTGTGAGGGGACAGTGGTGTCATCGAGGCCAGACAGTACGCTGAAAACGAGATGTGCACAACCTGGTAAATGGTGGGGCTTTAGGATGCGCGTGCAGTTGCATGCCCAGATCCAGCTGGGTTTATTGGCTTCCATCGCCCACTGAAGCTCCCAGCCCCCCTCTTAATTTCCTGTGCAGGAACCTGCTCAGGGTTAGGAACATCAATCAGGGGAGGTAAATATGGAGGTGGATCACACAAACCTGGTTTTGTGCCAATAAAATTTATATTTTGGGTTTTGCACAAGAATGCCAGGTCGGAGTAAATGACACCAAGACTGTATTGTCCCACAGAATAGTTTAACTGTCAAAAAAATGCAGATATAAATTCAATAATGTGTACAGCAGCGGTTTCTTCATATAGTATTTCCTTTAATTGAAGAAAGACACCCCAAAGACAAATTACATCCCTTTCCTACCAAAGTTTCTACATATTAAGAGGGATGTTGAGGGTGAGCTCCATGGGAAAGACAAGAGTTAACAGTGTTGATATTCTATCTCAGGTTCTGCAAAAAAAAATCTTTGCATGCAGTTGCCATTTGTGTCGCTGCATCGAAAGTGCCTGGATGTGGACTAAGACTGTTTTGTGTTAGAAACTGTACAAACATAGAATAAAAATGTGTCTTGTCCTGCTGCCGAATTTTTACCAAATAATAAAAATGAGTATCAGTAACTCTGATAGACAAATAAGCAAGCCTTTCAAAATAGGAGCACTATTAGTTAAATTAAATCTCAAGCTGACTAGAAGAAATCTCAGGCAAATGGGACGAAATAAATCTCAAACATAATGGGAATCTCTTAAAGCTTGTCTTAGATAATGTTGTATATTAATCCCCATGAAGATAGCCTTGATACACAGTGTTATGTGCACTTTTAAAACGGTGATAAAGTAGGACATTTTTTAATAACCAAAAGGATCTTCTGAATTTTGAACCTATGGTATCAGCAGGACTTGCCCGTTGCTGCAGCTGAAGGAGATCTGCTCTGGGTTTTGTATACCTGTTGATTTGCTGGGAAGATGAAAGCGTGAATGTCTTTGTCAACAAGATCTTTTATTTCCTTTCTGGGGTGCGTAAGCAGAAACGCTGGGTATGAAGCCAGGAGGATGTTCCTGCCTGCCCAAGGTGTCCACTCGACGACTAGTTAAAAGCGGTCTCTTTATAATAACCTCACAAATCCACAGAGGGATGATGGGTTTGA